GGATCTCTTGGTGGTGGCGGAGGTGGTGGAGGTACTGCTGTTCTGTGTGTCGATGGGCCAGCAGCACTGGTGGTTGGAGTAACCTCAACCTTCTTCTTCGGTGGACCAGACTGTTGTTGACTCCCGCTACTTCTCTTAGAGACAGTAGACATAAGATATTGTTCCTTGCCCTATTCAATGATTCGGTAATTCAACTTTTGTTAGGAATACTTTCCCGATACCGACTAGCTTCACTAATGTAAGCCACTTCGGAAGGGTTCAGCTTCCTAGAGCAAGGGAACAATGTATAACCAGAGCTTATTAAGGAAGGAATATAATAAGATAGTTATGTTTATGGCTTAGAATAGTATGAGCTTCAGGAGTATGAGAATGTATTCAAACTAACTACTAGCTATGCTAGACAGTTGAATTACAGTGAGCGTAGACCTGAGAGTAGCCATCCTTATATAGACCTATTTTCTGTTCCTCATGACCAAGTCTCAATCGCTCCCGATGAGACTCATGCATACAGTCTCATCTGCCAAGGCTGAGACTCGTGCAGAAGTCTCACCTGCCAAGACTGAGACTCGTGCAGAAGTCTCACATGCCAAGACTGAGACTGCCACTTGGCATTGCTTGGCAATGACCCATGTTACCCTGGCTGTACTGACAAGTACGCCGTAACACCCCTGAAGTGGCGGTCAGCCTAAAACCTTTACAATAAGCTTCAAGAGTATAAGAAAATATTTAAACTAATTACTAGATAAACTAGATAGTTGAATCATGAAGAAGCGTAATACCAGTAGAGACACGTGTTAGGAAAACTGTTACGAAGTAACACGTGATTTATCATGTAAGGGGTGGATGTAAGCGTGATATCAGGATGGGGAGCAATAAGTATGGATTAGTATTAAAACTAATGACTAAGAAGTAAAACTAAGGTAGATACTATATATAGCTTAAATACTACTTCCCCCCAGAGCATATAACCTGTGGCCTAAGCGCAGCTATACCTGTCACGGGACCACTAGAAGTGATCTGCTCAAGTTATCACGTGAGGTAAACTAATGAGGCTATCAACTATCTATTCAGTTGTGCTGTACTAAAGTATTGTACAATAATCAAGACGTTGCATGAAGAAGGGAAGGCCTGAAAGTAGTTCTTGCTAAGAATATAAAGGGGGCCTTATCACACCTTTCCTAATTGGGATTTGGGCGCGCGCGCAGTGAAATTAAATTAGGAAATCAGTTTAGTTTAGGAGTCCAGTTAGCCAACGTTAGGTAACGTTAGGTCACATTAGGTTATGTTAGCTAATGTCGGTGCTGCTTTAATCAGATAGGTAATAGGATAGTGCTAATCACGTGTCATAGGGGTGACCCCATGACAGTACCCCCCTCCTAGCCGGTGAAGCCTCCAGAGAGGGGCCTAGGGAGGGAGTTCCGGGAGTTCGAGCTCAGGTGTTCGGGTCCAGATCATCAGATATTCCGGTTTAGGTGTTCGGGCCCGGTTGTTCAAATTCGGGCGCTTAGGTTCAGTTACTTAGGTTCAGGTATTTGGGCTTAGTTGTTCAGATTTAGGCGCTTAGGTTCAGTTATTCAGGTTCAGGTATTCAGGCTTGGTTATTCAGGTTCAGGTCAGGCTATTATAGTCTTGGAGCTTGCGTTGTAATCACTTAATATAGGATATATTTTACGCTTCATACTTAGCAAAAGCTGCTATTTCAAGTAGAGTATCCTCAGGTTCCTAGGTATTATTATCCGGATTATCATATCCACGCTATTTAACCAGGAACTGTAGTCAGCAGCGGCAGATTCATGCATCCAGGATCTGTTCGACTAGGTATTCGTCTTCTCTATCAATCTCAATTAGGGGTGGCAGCTCCTACTACTAGCCAGATAGCGGTTTATAGCTAGTCGATGGCATCAGGTTTGATATATTAACTATAGGCCATATACATATTAAGCTGGGTAGCTTTAATTTATATGTGTAGGGTGACACTTTTTTTTCAATCTTATATGGGCCCGCATTCTTCCAGTCCAGTTTCTTAGTTGGGCGGTAGCTGCGTATATTCTTCAAGTTCAGCTAAACCTAATTACCTACCTGGTAGTTAGGTCCTATTTACCTATTACAATCAGCCTTTTTAGCATAGATAGCCTGGGCCCAGGCTATTTTATTACATAGGTGTTGGTTCAGTTCGTGCATCCGGCTTATAAAGTGGTTAACATTGCTAACTGTTAGAGACTGCGGGCTGTCAGAGGGTGGCTCAAAACCTATTCACAGGTACTGGCCAGTGTTTACCAGGAACGGTGTTGTTCCTATTATCTCATTTTAGCTGTTATTAGCAGCAAATTCTGCTATAGGTAGCCAGTCATCCCAATCATCTTATATGTAATCTACAAAGCTTCAGAGGTATTACTCTATTTCCCCATTTACGCGTTTAGTTTGGCCGTCTATTTCAGGATGGTAGGCAGTTGATAGGCGGGCGTCAATACGGAGGCGTTTGCATAGGTATCTCCAAAAGAGCGATACAAACATGCTTCCCCAGTCTGATACAATTGTGTCTGGCAAGCCATAGAGTTTCCATATATGACGGAGGAATAGTTGGGCGACTGCGGGCGCTGAGATCTCAGAATATCCAATAAAGTGTCGCTGTTTGGACAGGTGATCTACTACCACCATAATATTTATATTACTGTTAAACATAGGTAATTTAACCACAAAGTTAACTGAAACATCGCACCAGCACTATTTAGGTACAGGCAGGGGCTTCAGTACGCCGGTATAGGTAGTCCTCCAGGCTTTTGCTTGTGAGTAGATGTGACAGGAGGCTATAAAATGTCTTACTGATTCATATATCTTTAGCCAATAATAATGGCGCGATAGAAGTTCCAGAATCTGGGAGTAACCAGGGTGGCCCCTGATAGGAGAGTCATGTATATATCGGAGTAGTTTAATCTTCAGTTTATTATTATCAGGGACCACCATTCAGCCTCTATAATATAGGTGGTTGTTAATGACCTCACACTCAGCCAGAGTAATCAGTTTTGATTTATACTCGCCCTCACTGAGTTAGTAATAGACCTTAGTGATGAATTCATTGTTAGCATACTCCTCCTTAATAATCTACTTAATTAACCGGTCTATCTCCATTAGCCTAAAGTCGAAGATTTCTGGTTATAGTAGTATTTACTGACGAAAATAGCAGGCCTCCTCTTGAGCAGGCTGGTCCTAAAAGCGTTGTATTAGGGCGTCGGGCTTTTAGCCCTGGGCGCCTGGTTGGTATATAATTCTGAAGTCGAAGCGTGACAGGTACTCTAACCATTAAGCTTATCTATGGCTAAGCTGTTTTGTAGTATAGAAGTATTGTAGGTTCTTATAATCACTTAGTACCTTTATAGGATATACTACTCCTTCTAGTTCAGGTTACCACTATTTAAAGTATCAGATAATAACTAGCAAC